TCACTCTTTTCATGAGACAGAGGAGAGTAGGGCCAATAGCTCCTGATGCAAACTGAGAAATGTTAACTGGATATAGGAAAGAAGTAATGGTTAATAATACCCATGCATCAGATACTTTAGGGAGCACTCTTCAGTTTTGCCCATTCCCAACACATGTTTACCAGAAACACTTTAAAAGAGTAAAAATGGGTACTGAGGAGCTGACTCTGTTGGCAAAATATTTACCATTCAAGCCTTAAGGCCTGAGTTAAAATTTCCAGCATTCATGTTTTTAAAAAAATAGATGCAGCTTTGTGCATTTGCAATTTCTGTGCAGAAGTAGAGATAGCAGGATCTGGGATTTGTTGACCCACCATTCTGGCCAAAAGTAAGCTCTAGGTTCTGTAAGAGACCCTATTAAAATATGGTGGACAAGCAAATGAAGAAGACACCTGATCTTAGCCCTGACTGCTACATGCATGCACATACATGTGTATGTGAGCCCACACATAAACACATACACAAACACATGAAAACACGCATACACATAGAAATACAGAATTTCATTAAAATAAATACAAAGCAAAATTCTTCATTGATCTACCTGATACAAATATTTATGACTTTAATTGTAAACAACTATATAAGTAAAACAGTCAACTAAGTCATAGATCTTTGCTCTACTTGATAGTAAAAACATATCATTCACTTTGGATGCCATTCTGACTAAAGAGGCAACACTCTCTCATGTAGGTAGAATATAAGTGACCTAGTCTGGGTTGTCTGAGGTTAGTGGCAGTCTTTTGAGATGACCAAAGAGCTGTTTTGATACATGCTTACACAGAAACCCAGCATGAACTAAGTCTAGGAGAGTGATTAAGTGGGGCTGCACGAGAAGAGCACATGCAGTTAACAGTGGAGTGGGAAAGATAAGACACACGTGTCACCCAATACACAGAACAAATGGGGAGCTGGCTGTTGAAGCGTTTGGAAAACACGGTGTTGATGGGATAATGCATAAGGATATATGGCTGCATTCTGAAACATAATCCTTAAAAGGAGATGAGATGTGGAGATATGGGACACAAGTCTCTTGCTACTGTCCAAGGGAAGGGTAATAAGTTAAGACAGGACCTGGTCAGGGAGTGAGATGCAAGGACATGTCCAGATAGAACAGCTGATGTCAGACATCCCAGTTTTGTACTGACATGGGTTAATGCCAATAGCCATGAAAATACTATATGGAAGTCTATTGTTTTGTAAACTAATAAAATTTATTTTTGAGATTTTGTATATAAGTAATGAATTTACATCATTCCCATCTCATTTTCACTCCCATCCAGTTCCTCCCATGCCTTCCCACTCCCTCTGAATTTCATGACCTCTTCTTCAATTATTATTGTTACATACCACACACACAAACACACACACACACACACACACACACACACACACACATACACACACCTACCTACTGAGTCCATTTAGTGTTATTTGTATGTACATGTGTTTAGGATTGACAAGCTGAGATTAGAAGACCTATCAGGAATCTGAAATAGAACTAATTCTCCACCCAAATGTCAGTATTAGCTTCTTCATATTTTTTATTTCACCTTTTTCCACTGTTCTATGTGTTTCCAGCTATAGCAATTTAGGATATGCTGTCTCCCACCACAAACAGGCTTTCTTCGTGGAGTGTGAAGATGAAGACTGATGACATTTTCCCACAGGTTGAGGCTTCTGCTCACACATTCTCTTTGCTAAACAAGAAATAGCCTGGTCCTTTGGGTTTATCCTGTGGTGCCCTCCAACCCCCCATGGTTAACACTGGTTCCTCCTTGGTTAGCCAAAAGGAGCAATTGGGGTTACCTTATTATGAAAAAGAGTCAATATGATATCTACATTTAATTATTCAATGTATAGATTATCACCAGTGGCTGATATCAGCCATGTGATAGACCACTTCTTTGGTGCTTTGGTGGTCAAAGTGACAGTATTTGCATTTGTACCTTATTTTCCTCATCCACCCTGAGGTTTGAATTGACTTTTGCACACATAATAACACAGAGGTCAGATTTGACTCACATACAGCATATGTATATACAGCTTCTCCAACACTGTTGGGGAGACAATTCTTTCACCATTGTGTATTCTTGTGAGAAGTCAGTTAACATAAATATGTATGGGTTGGGGCTGGAAAGACAGACCAGTGATGACTTACTGCTCTTAAAGGAAATTACAAAATGCAGTTACTTAAGGAAAATGTTCTCCTTAAACTATATTTTAATGCAAGAGACTCAGTTCCATTCCCAGCACCCTAGTCAGGCAACTCACAACTTTCTATAATTCCACTCCATGCTTCTGACCTCCTAGGGCAACTAGAGCCATATGCACATACCTGCATGCCAACACAGACACATATAAGTAAAACTAAATCTTTAAAATATTCATGAATTTATTTCTGCTGTCTTTGTTACATTGTACTAGTTTAGATACTTTATAGCAATAGCATGCAATTTTAGTTAGTGTGGCTTTGTAATGTATTTTGAAATCAGAAAGTGTGATGTCCCCAGTTTTGTTTTTTATTTATAATTGTTTTGGCTATTCAGAAATTTTTATAGGTCCATACGGATGCCAGAAAATTTTCTATTTCTATAAAATATGCGTTGTGATTTTGATATTTATTGAGTCTGTAGATCTTTTGACTTACTGTTGTAAGTTTTCCAGTCTATGAATAAACAAAATGTTTTCATCAGTGTTTTGTAGTTTTTAGTACTTTTTTACTTCCTTAATTAAAATTCTAAGGACTTTATTCTCTTTGATATTACTGTATATAAAATTTACTTTTCAACTTCCTTTACAGATAGATTGCTATCAGGGTATAAATATACAACCAACTTTTCTGTGTTAATAAAAAATTTTCATAAGTGTGTGAAAATTATATATCTTTGGACAACTAGTAGATCAAAGAATAAATCAAAAGGAAAAGTTAAAAACTTAAAGTTATAATGCTGAATACCTACTTTTTAAAAAATATCAAATGAAAAATATAACTACATTTCAAAAGCTGGAAAAAGAAAATACACTAAACTGCAAGTTAACATAAGGAATGAAACAATAAAGGTTCAATGCGAAGGCTGGGGGTGTAGATTAATGGCATAGTGCTTGATTAACATAGGTAAGGCCCTGGTTCAATTCCTAATATGAAAGAAAGAAAGAAAGAAAGAAAGAAAGAAAGAAAGAAAGAAAGAAAGAGTATGAGACAGCAAGAGAGAAGGGGAGAAGGAAGGAAGGGAGAGGAGAGGAGGGAAGGAGGGAGATGAAGAACAGAAAATAATAGAAAAAATTAATGAAACTGAAATTTGGACTTTTAAAACATATATAAACAAAGCTGATACCTATAAATTTACCAAGAAAAAAGAGAGAGAGAGAAGACACAGATACATAATGCCAAAATGAAAAAGGGAGCATTACAACTGCTAACATAGAAACAAAAATATCATAAGAAAGACAGGAACAGTGGTTCACATCTGTGATCCCAGCTCTTGGGCGGTGGAGGCAAGAGGGTTGAGAGGGTGGCATAGTGATATCCCTGTCTCTGTACTACTGTACATATATTGATGATACTACTGTAATAATAATAATAATGATAATCAAAAATTAAAATATCATTAGAGACTACCACGAATGATTGCAAACTGCCAACTAGTAGGGAATCTGAGAAACATGTGAACCACAAAAAAGTAGTATGAGTAAACTAAAAGTTCGGATAAACACAACTAGTAGTAAGATTAAATTAACTCCCAATCAAAAATAAATAAGAGTTCAGGATCTGAAGGTTTCCCTGGAAAGTTCTAACATTTAAAGAACAAGTACCAAGCCTTCCAACCTCTTCCCAAGATCTGTAGTTTTCCAGTCCTATTTCACACTAACATCAAAACTAAAACATCATAAGAAATGAAAACTATAACCCAATATTCTTGATGGAACTAATGACTCCCAGGTGTTCCTTCGCATCTGAGTGGCAGCATCCACAACACTTGAGTTCTGTATGTCTACATACCACCCAGGTCTGTTGCCACATCATTCAGTAGCAGGACAAGAATGTCTAGATGACCAAATACAGGTAAAAACTTCCTGTGCAGCAGCTGCCTCTGCTATTTCCTTCTTCACAGACATCAGGACTCAGTTTCTCTGCCTCCTCCATGTGAACTGAAGACCAATGGCTCTCCCAGAATATTCTAGGCCTTCAGTAACAGCTTGGGACTGCTAAGACACCCAGGCTCATGAACTGAGCAGTTATTAGATTCTCCACTTTTTCTTGTGTGAAAATAGCCATCTAATAAATATATGTTCTCTTCTACTAGAAAAGTCTAACTAATACAAAGATAAAGCCTAGGGAGCCTGCACAGGACTGACCTTGGCCCTCTGCATGTGGGTGCGGGTGACAAGGGTGACAGTTGTGTAGCTTGGTCTGTTTGTGGATCCCCTCCAGCAAGTGGGATCAGGACCTGTCCCTGGCTCTTGAACAAGCTTTTGGAAACCGGTTCCCCATGCTGGGAAGCCTTGCCTAGCATTGGGGAGGAGATTAGTCCTGCCTCAAATTGATGTGCCATGTGTTTTTTACTCTAAAGGGAGACCTGCCCTTTCTCAATAGAGGAGGAGTTGATGCAGGAATAATAGGCAGGAAGTGGGGGAAGGGAGGCAGAGGAGAAGAGGGAGGGGAAACTGTGGTTAGTATGTAAAATAAGTTAAGAAATTTAATTAAAAAGTTTAAAAAAGGATAAACCTTAAATTTCAACTATACTTCCATACTACTATTTTTAGATGTTCATAAATAAAACATAGCCATAAATACATGAATGTTATAATGCATAACTTCCAAAGTGGAGTGAGGGTGGTGAGAAATAGGAAGAAGGAAAAGATATGATTTTCCAGAAAGAAAAGAAAAAATACTTACGTATACAAAACAATTAACTTAAATGTCTCAGCTGGAATACATGAAGAGTGAATGAGCCTTGTTTTAATTTCTACCATTTTATTGTAATTAAAAAGATTTTTGTGTATATGTTGCCACATAGTTGTAATCACAGTTCGTGGAAGGCCAGCCTGACCTCTATGGTGAGTCAAGGAACTACCTTCGATATAAGCAAGGTCTTGTCTCAAAAGAACAAAGCAAACAAAGTAAGATTTTTTAAAGTACCATCTTAAATATTTTCCCTGATATAAAGGGGAACAGATTTATTTTTAACAAGTAAAAAATAATTTACATTATTAATATTTGTATTTCCCGTATCTCTCTCTTAACCAAAATGGAGGGAACTTATATACCCATTATCATTCTTTTATTGTGTAAATACCTCCAAGTTGTCCCACCTACAGAGATAGTCCAAAGACACTTGCTATTTGATAAATACATCAGAATAGAATGTTAAAAGTACACAACTCATAACATGTGTAAAACTGTTATGCATGAGATGTCAGCATCTCTGTAGCTATACAAGGAGTTGAAAATTACTGTCATTACAAAAGCTGTCTTTCTCTTGAAGACATGACAAAGACATGAATCCACTTCTAAAAATAATAGAGTTAATATCATAATCTTAAGACACATCAACCAACTGCTTAATTAAAATGGGATAGAAACTGTGGAGGTGAGAATATTAAAGATACAAGAATAAGAACATGGAGAAAGACACATTCAAACACAATTGGCGGGAATGTAAATTGGCACAGTTTAACTAATCTATTGATAATAAAAATACTGACAAGACAATTACACTCAAAGAAATCTCACAATGTACTCAAATAATGTAGAGATTACCCACAAGAAACATTCTATTTGATATTGTATAATACCAAACACAAAACAAAATCTAAAGGCCCATCCAAGGACCATGATTAATTAAATTACAATATAATCATACATAGAATTTTACATAGACATTAAAAGAATGAGGTAGTTTTGCTTATGCTGTTATATAAAGTTTCCCAAGACTCACATTATTAACTTTTATAAGTCAAGCATTCCAGCATGTTTTGACGAAGAGCTGTCTTGACAAAATGATGTGTGTGTATATACATATGTAAATAAACATATAAATGCACACATAAACCATTGGCATGTCATATACAGAGAAATTTTTTGGAAGAATTCATGAGAAACTCTTTAGTAATGATTGTTCCTTTTGTAGTTATGTCTTAAAGAAATTCAGTTTTCATCATACTGTATTGCACAATTTGATATTGTGTCATAACCTTGTGCTTTCTTTGCAATAATTACATCAGTTCTTCAAAGAACTAACTGGTAGCAGCAAAGATTCCAAACCTCCAGTCACAGAAGAATACAGATGCAAATCCATTAGAACATTTGTGGTTTCTAATAACTTTTGAAGAGCTAATTCCCAAGTCATCTTTCCATTGTAGAATTTTAAGGAAAGCAAAACAGTAATTATGTCTCTTGATTCATTTTTTCTTTGTGCTAGTTTTCAGTGACTGATAAAGCAAGCCAGTCTGTGCCGTTGACTTCACCTTGCGATGCTGGACATGCCTCCGCCTTGGTCACAGTGTCATAGAGTGGATTGCTCTTCTCTGTGTAGCTAGCATAAGGTTGCATTTCATCCTTGGAAAAAGCTCAAAGTCAAAATCCATTTAAAGAGCCAGAAATCATGACCCAAATCACCCCTTTTTTTCTACCATGTTAGCATCTACAAGTAATGCTTTTATATATATATATATATATATATATATATATATATACATACATGACTCATGTGAACAAGGTTTTGTTCTAATAATCTGTCAAAACATTTGTTGATTATCTATGTTTTGGGTGAGATGGTTGGTGGGGAAAAGTAGAAATGTAAAGGAATGGGGTGATGTGAGAAGTATTTCAAAGGGATGAGTCAAAGACAGTAAGAAGCTGGTTATAGGAGACTAAGGGTCAGGCTGTTTAAAGCCTGGAGAAGAGAAAATTGATGGTGGTGCTGAAAGGGGGAAGTCCAGAATTAGACACAAGTTCCTGGAGAAGGAAACACCTACTTGATTTCTCCAGAGATTACAGTCCAATAGGACAAAAGTGACAAAGGTGCAATTTTTCTGTTGAAAAAGTGTATTGGATAGATTATAAATAGTATTTAATAGGTAACTAGCAGATTAAGTAAATTTGACTACTAACAATGTAAAATCAGAATTGTTTTGTTCAACTAAAACATGAATATTAATGCAAATTACAGATTATGCTGCCAGATTAAAACCATGTGGCTTTAACATTTACGAATATTCTTTCACTTATCTTACCTCCTCAACAACTGGAGAAGCTTCTGGTCTTGTCCATTTACATTTTCTAAAAAAATGAAATAAAATAATCTGGAGTGGATGCAAGCAGCATCATTGTTTAGAATAAACAATTATAGTATCGAACTATTCTGATAACTATTATGTAAGTCTCAGTAAATCAGAAATGAATAGAATACAATTGATTTGCAGTTATTATAAAAATAATAAAATTCTGAATCTGAGATTAAAAAAGCAAAATCTTGAGATGGGAACTTGATGCAATAAAATATATGTGATACAATCTCTTTGTTACATAAAAAGAATCATGGTAATTATTTTCTCAAATTAAAAAATAACATACCCAGATTCTCAACCCTTACTGGCTTGACTCACAGTGATTGCACACCAGAGCAGCTCACTAAAGACTGTCACCATGCAAAGTTATTCCAGATTAACACTTCACGTGTTCCTTTTGCTTATGAGAACACTGTTGTTACTCTCAGTGTATCAGGCAGTCCCATATATTCCTCAGCTTTTTCTAATCCAATAAGATTGAAGAAAAAATTATCAGTTAATACCTGAAGTCACTGCTTTTCCAAAGCCAAAAGCATCCTGCGATGATCAAAATAAAAATGATAGATAGGATGATGTATGAAATATATGATCCTAATGCCTTGCCTCCTGTAATGACAGACAGGAAATTTTATGGTTCAATGGCGATAAATCCAGATAATAGGGTTTTTTCATTGATAAAATGAAGGAGGAATTCATGTCTGGTACTGAAACACACTCAAAACTAGGTGGTGAGAAAAATAATGAGCCCAGGAGAGAGGCACTACCACTGCTGCTTTGCTAAATGGAAGTGATGTCATGCTGTCTTCTAAATACTATAGATAGAGAAAACAGGATATATTCCATGAAAAAACCAGATTTAAATAATACATATCCACTAACCCAGCCCTACAGCAAGTTCCGAAGGAAAACTCCAAACCAAGAGATTTAACTACAACCAGAAAAAACATAGGCAATAGATAATCCCACCTTACCAACAGCCAAAAGAAAAAAAAGAGGTGGAAATACACATATAATTCCACCACCATCAACTATTCCAAAACAAACAAGAATGAGCAATCAATGGTCATTAATATCCCTCAATATTAATGGCCTTAATTCACCCATAAAGAGACACAGGCTAACAGAATGGATTTGAAGACAGAACCCATCCTTCTGCTGCATACAATAAACACACCTCAGCCTGAAAGACAGACATTACCTCAGAGTTAAGTGTTGGGAAAAGATTTTCCAATCAAATGGATCCAAGAAACAAGCTGGGGAAGAAGTCATAATATCTAACAAATTAGAGTTTAAAATAAAAATCAATCAAAAAAAATGAACAAGGGCATTTTATACTCATCACAGGAGAAATCCACTAAGATGAAGTTTCAATTTTGAATATCTATGCCACAAATACAAAGACACCCAATTCATAAAACAAACATTACTAAAACTTAAATCACATATAAAGCCATATACACTTGTAGAGGGAGACTTCAACACCCCACTCTCACCTCTAGAGAGGACTACCAGACAGAAACTTAACAAAGAAGCAAAGGAACTAACAGAAGTTATAACCCAATTGGGATTAACAGACACCTATAGAACATTCCATCCAAATAGGAAAGAATATTCCTTCTTGTCAGTGCCACATGAAACCTTCTCAAAAATCGACCACATACTTGGCAATATATCAAACCTCAGCAGGTGCAAAAAAATTGGAATAACTTCATGCACCTTAACAGACCACCATGCATTAAAATTAGAATTCAACAATTACACAAATTGCAGAAACCCTACAAACTCATGGAAATTGAATAATTCACAGTTGCACCATTCCTGGGTCAAAGAAGAAATTAAAAAAGAAATTAAAGACTTCCTAGAATTCAATGAGAATGAATACACAGTATACCTAAACTTATGGAATACTTTGAAAGCAGTGCTACAGGAGGAAGTTCATAGCAGTAAGTGCCCACATGAAGAAACTGGAGAATACTTATACTAGAGAATTAACAACACAGCTGAAAGCTCTAGAACACAAGGAAGGAAACTCACCCAGGAGGAGTAGATACCAGGAAATAATCAAATTGCCAGCTGAAATCAGTAAAGCAGAAACTAGGAAAATGATACAAAGAATCAATGTAACAAAAAGTTGGTTCTTTGAGAATCAACAAGATAGGCAAACCTTTATCCAAATTCACCAAACAGCAGAGTGTGAACATGCAAATTAACAAAATCAGAAACGAAAAGGGGGACATAACAACAGACACTGAGGAAATCCAGAGAATCATCAGGTCATACTTTGAAAACCTGTACTTCAAAAAATTCAAAATTTAAAGAAAATGGACAATTTTCTGGAGAGATATCACTTGCCAAAATTAAATTAAGAACATATAAGCAATTTAAATAGACCTATAATACCTAAGGAAATAGAAGCAGTCATCAAAAGTCTCCCAACCAAAAAAAAAAGCCCAGGGCCAGATGGCCTCAGTGCAGAATTCTACCAGACATTCAAAGAACAGCTTATACCAATTCTTCTCAAAGTATTCCATGCAATAGAAGAAGAAGGGTCTTTGCCAAACTCTTTCTATGAGGCTTCAATAACATTGCTACCCAAACCATAAAAAGACACAACTAAGAAAGAGAACTTCAGACCAGTATCCCTCATGAACACTGATGCAAAAATACTCAATAAAATACTGGCAAATCGAATCCAAGAACACATCAGAAAAATCATCCACCATGACCAAGTAGAATTCATCCCAGGCATGTAGGGATGGAACAACATTAGAAAAGCCATCAACGTAATCCACCATATAAACAAACCGAGAAACAAAAATCACTTGATCATCTCACTAGATGCTGAAAAAGCCTTTGACAAAATCCAACACCCATTCATGATAAAGGTCTTGGAGAGATCAGGGACAACAGGAACTTACCTTAACACAATAAAAGCTATATACAGCAAACCAACTGACAACATCAAACTAAATAGACAGAAACTCAACGCAATTCCTCAAAGATCAGGAACAAGAAAAGGCTGTCCACTCTCTTCATACCTCTTCAATATTGCCCTTGAAGTTCTAGCTAGGGCAATATGACAACAAAAGGAGATCAAGGGGACACAAATTGGAAAGGAAGAGGTAAAACTTTCACTATTTGCAGATGATATGATAGTTTACATAAGTGACCCAAAAAAACCTCTACCAAGGAACTCCTACACTTCAGCAAAGTGGCAGGATACAAGATCAACTCAAGAAAATCAGTAGCCCTACTATATACAGATGGTAAAAGGGCTGAGCAAGAAATCAGAGAAACATCACCCTTTACAATAGCCACAAACAACATAGAATACCTTGGGGCAATGCTAACCAAACAAGGGAAAGACCTATATCACAAGAACTTTGAGTCTTTAAAGAAAGAAATTAAAGAAGACACCAGATGGAAATATCTCCCATGCTCTAGATAGGTAGAATCAACACAGTAAAAATGGCAATCTTGCCAAAATAAATATACAGATTTAATGCAATCCCCATTAAAATCGTAGCACAATTCTTCACAGACCTTGAAAAAACAATAATCAACTTCATATGGAAAAACAAAAGACCCAGGATAACCAAAACAACCCTGTTCAATGAGGCAACATCTGGAGGCATCACCATCCCTGACTTCAAGCTCTATTACAGAGCTATAGTCCTGAAAACAGCTTGGTATTGGCACAAAAATACACAGACCAATGGAATCAAACTGAACAGCCAGACATTAACCCATCCATGTATGAACATCTGATGTTTGACAAAGAGGCTAAAATTATACAATGGAAAAAAAAGCATGTTCAACAAATGGTGTTGGCATAACTGGAGGCTGACATGTAGGAGACTTCAGATAGATCCATGTCTATTGCCATGCACAAAACTTAAGTCCAAATGGATCAAAGACCTCAACATAAATCCAGCCACTCTGAACTTGTTAGAAGAGAAAGTGGAAGGCACTCTTGAACCAACTGGTAAAGGAGACTGCTTCCTGAACATAATTCCAGTAACACAGATGCTAAGATTACTAATTAATAAATGGGACCTCCTGAAACTGAGAAGCTTCTGTAATGCAAAGGACACAGTCAGCAAGACAAAAAGGCACCCCACAGAATGGGAAAAGATATTCACTAACCCCACATCTGACAGAGGGCTGATCTCCAAAATTTACAAAGAACTCAAGAAGCAAGTCTCCAAAACACCAAAGGATCCAATCAAAAACTTGGGTACAGAACTAAATAGAGAATTCTCAGTAGAGAAGTCTAAAATGGCTGAGAGACACTTAAGAAAGTGCTCAACATCCCTAGCCATCCGGGAAATGCAAATCAAAACAACTCTGAGAAACCATCTCACTCCTGTCAAATGGCTAAAATCAAAAACTCCAATGGCAATTTATGCTGGAGAGGATGTGGAGAAAGGGGAGCACTCCTCCACTGCTGGTGGTAGTGCCGACTTGTACAGCCACTTTGGAAATCTGTATGAGGATTCCTCAGGAAAATGGGAATCAGTCTACCACACGACCCAACAATTCCACGCTTAGGCATTTACCCAAATTCATACAACAAGGATGTCTGTTCCACTATGTTCATAGCAGCATTATTTGTAATAGCCAGAACCTGGAAGCAACCTAGATGCCCCTCAACTGAAGAGTGGATAGATAAAATGTACATTTACACAATGGAATATTATTCAGCAGAAAAAAAACCAATGGAATCTTGAAATTTGCAAGCAAGTGGATGGCACTAGAAGAAACCATTCTGAGTAAGGTAACCCAGTCACAGAAAGACAAACATGGTATGTACTCACTCATTTATGGATTTTAGACATGAATCAGGGGAGTACCAGCCTACAATCCCATTCCCAGAGAGTCTAGGAAACAGAACCTTCATCCAGCGATTGATGAAAGCAGAGGCAGATACCCACAGATAAACACTGAACTGAACTCCTGGAATCCAGTGTCAGAAAGGGAGAACTTATGGCCAAAGGAGTTAAGACTGGGTTAGTTAACCCACAGAAACAGTTGACCTGAACAAGGGGGAACACCTGGACCCCAGATTGATGGCTGTGTGGAAAGAATGGGTCTGACCCAGACCCCCTAAATATGGGTGTCAGTGAGGAGGCCTAGGTAATCTATGGGGCCTTGGGTAGTATTTATCCCTGGCATACAAATAGACTTTCAGTGCCCATGCCACAATGTGGGATGCTTTCTCAGCCTGGACTATTGAAGGAAGGCCTATACCCTACCCTGGATGAAATGACAGACTCTGGAGATCCACCATGGAGTGCCTCATCCTCCCTGGGGATCAGAGTGGAGGTTGGATGGGGAACTAGGGGTGGTCTGGTAGGGAGGTATGGGGAGGAGGGGAGGGAGATGTAGCTGGGATTGAAGTGTGAAACAAGCTTGTTTCCAACTTAAAAAAAGGAAGGAAAGAAAAGAAAAAATATGATGTAGGACATTCTTCTATTACTTGCTATTTTGCAGTATACTAAGCCACCCTGTTTCCTCAGATAGAAAAAGGAAGGGACTGGCAGATTACCCTGGAAGTCAGAACATTTTGAATGATATTCATATTTATACAGCTGTGAATGAGAAGT